ATACAGGCACTTCGTCTTCTGGAGTATGTTGTTGGCGGATTATTGGAGCACACCCATGAAACTCGTTTTCATGAAATACAACATCTTTGCTTCGAATAACTTTCTTCACTTCGGGATCCCACAACCGGTATCTGAATTCTTCATCTCCATAGCCGATGAAGATACATGGGTTTGACTTGAGATCAAGCTTCTGTCTCAACTCCTTGGACACATGTGCAAATGCCTTGCACCCGAACACTTTCAAGTGAGAGTAAGAAACATCTCTTCCTGACCATTTCTTCTCTGGCACTTCAAAGTTTAAAGGAACAGAAGGTGACCTGTTTATAAGATAACAAGCTGTCAGCACAGCTTCACCCCAAAATGGCTTAGGTAGCTTAGCCAGACTCAACATGCAACGAACTTTCTCCATAATGGTCCGATTCATTCTTTCGGCTACACCATTGTGTTGCGGAGTTCGTGGAACCGTCTTCTCATGTCTGATTCCATATGCGGCACAATATGCTGAGAATTTTCGGGAAGTGTACTCTCCTCCATTGTCTGAACGCAGACACTTCAGCTTCTTCCCTGTTTCTCTTTCTACCATGGCATGAAATGATTTGAATCGATCAAACACTTGATCCTTACGATTTAAACAGTAGGCCCATACCTTTCGTGATGCATCATCAATGAATGTCACGAAGTATCTGCTTCCTCCAAGTGACTCCTCTTCAATGGGTCCACATACATCAGAGTGGACAAGACTGAGTAACTCTGTATGGTTCTTCTTGGTAGAACTGAAGGAAACCTTGTGTTGTTTCCCAAATAGACAGTGCTCGCATGAATCTAGGGCAACACCTTTGCCCATGGAAATGACTTCCTTCTTTGCAAGAGTTGTCAATCCCTTCACGCTCAAGTGACCTAACCTCCGGTGCCACAAGTTTGGTGATATCTCTTCTTCAACATCATTGAGACTCGGATGACACAACTTTGCATGAGTTTTATAAAGAGTGCCACAAATATGGCCTCTTGCAACAACCAAGGAACCTTTAGATAGCTTCCACGTACCTTCTTTGAATCGGTTAAGATATCCTTGTTGATCCAGAGCTGTACCGGAGATAAGATTCAATCTAAGATCCGGAACGTGTCGAACATCTTTCAACACAAGTGCGCATCCGACATTGGTTATTATGTGCACATCACCAATGCCAACAATCTTCGAGAAACTGGTGTTTCCCATCTTCACAGCTCCAAAGTCTCCGGACTTATAAGTTGTGAATAAGTTCTGGTGTGGAGTGGCGTGAAATGATGCGGCTGTATCAATCACCCACTCAACATCATGAGTGCCTACGTGTAAACATTCTTGTTCACCATGTGTAACAAGACACACGTCTGATGACAAACTAACCATGGTCTCACCATCTTCTTGGCTAGTATTTTGACTCGTCTGTGGCTTCTCTCGTAGAAACTTTCTACAATCTCTTTTCCTATGTCCATAATTACTACAGTAATTGCAATATCCTTCGAACCAAGTATTGTTTTCAAAGGACATACCTCTCTCTTGTGATCTTCCGCGAACTTGAGAATTTCCTCTACTTTGACCTTGACCTCTACCTCGACCTCGACTTCTTCCTCCATTTATGCCTCCCCCTCGTCTGTTAGTTTCTGATATGAGGACATATGATTGTTCCGTCCCGGCTTCCTTCCTTCGGGCTTCTTCATTCACCAGGGCATCTGTGACCATCTGCATAGTCACCTTCCCATTTGGAGCAGAATTACTGAGAGTGACAACAAGAGTCTCCCAGCTGTCAGGTAGAGAGCTCAAGAGTAGTATCGCCTGCTCTTCATCTTTGAGAACCCATCCGGTGGTGCTCAACTGATTCACAAGATCCTGGAATTGACTGGTGTGTTCTGACACCGAAATACCCCCACGTAATTTGTGGTTTACTAATCTCCTCATTAGTAACGTCTTATTTCGGGCGGTTTTTGCTTGATACATGCTACCAAGCTTCTTCCATAGTGTGTAAGCACTTTGTTCTTGAGCAACATGGTGGAACACACTATGATCTATCCATTGTCGAATTTGTGCGACAGTTTTTCGATTCATTTTTGTCCATTCTTCATCCGTCTTTTTATCCGGTTTCACACCATTATTATCAAGAGGATCCGCTAAATCCCTCAAATTTAGCAAATCCTCCATCCGAGGCTTCCACATATTGTAGTTTGTGGATGTGAGCGCAATCATGGTGTCCGACGATGATTTATCCATAATAAAACGCTCTATATATCTCGTACCTTTTTTTCGAAGCCGAATTTGGACAAACGAAGCTCACCGTTGGATCCGGAATGGCCGAAAATGGTAAGAACCGGTATGACCTCGTCCAAAACTGGTCTGGAAACGGGTGAACCGTCCAAAAGCACGAACCGGTTCGGTCCGGTTCAGGCAGCAGCCCAGCCTGCAGCCCAGCAGGCGAATGACGTGGCTCTGCTCCCTCGCTGACGTGGCGATGACGTGTAGCCACGTGGCGTCTGACGTGGCTCACGGCGGACGGCTCGGGTGGATGACGTGGCGGATGACTCGGCACCACGTGTCGCTGACGTGGTCCAACGTGGCGATGACGTGGCAGCTGATGTGGATCGTCTTCTTCCTCTGGACTGCGTGATGACGTAGTGATGATGCAGGTAGTTTTCCGGCGGTGCGTACGGCCTCTTCCGGTGGCCAAAAAAAATCCCCAAAAATACCATATTTCTCGTCTCGCCGAGACGAATCTAACGGTATGATCAGATCCTGATTCCGAGCAACTTGAAAAATCACGATTTTCTAACCTGTAGAAATTTATCTGAAAATGAGAAAACAGTGTATGGAAACTCAACCTCGCTCTGATACCACTTGTTGGGATTGGAAAATTCTTCTATTCAATATCAAGAATAGAATTACAATAGGAGGAGCAAACTCTCACACTCAACTATTACAAAAAACCAATCCTCACCAATACACTTCTACACTAAGTGTATTTCACTCTTCACACACTTTTCTCACTTTCTAAACTGATACAATGAACAACAATGGAGCACTCTATTTATAGGACTTGTTTGGAGACATGAGGAAGTTTCATCCAAGCTTCCTAGTTATCTCCATATCTTCTCCCACACCTATTTGTTGGAGAACTCTTTCCAAGAAGGTGTCTCCATGTTAAGGTGTCTCTTGGCAACTTCCAAGAAAGAAGTTGGAAGATACCTACGGTAGCACCTTATCTATCAAATAGATCCTCTGCCAAAAGACAGATTAGAAAAGAAGCAGCATAATGCCACAAACAACATGATGAAATTAATGCATCTCCCAGATCTACAGCTTGGGATTGGTTCATGGATTAACCTTTGGAGCCCACCCGGCAATGATATACTCATCTTTTGGGGGCTTAGTTTTCTGGAAAGAGTCCCTTGCAAAGACCAACTGCAAAAATATAATGAAAGAAATCAAAGGCCAACTTCTGCTTTCTTGTAAACTATGGAGTATGAGTGTATGCAACATCTTAGCTTTTATAAGAACCTTGGGTTTCTTCTGTGTTTATTTTTTATTTGCCCTCTTTGGAGGTTGGGTTATTGTAGGGGACTGTGGTTTCTCTGTCCACCACTTCAGGCATGGGATCCACACACCAATGGTTTAGATGAGCTACACACTTGTTTAGTGTCTCAAATCAGTCATGTATTTAGTTTGAGAGTAGTAGCATATAGTGTAAGGTGAACCTAACATCTAAAGCATCACTAACTTCATCCTCTCATGTATCATTTTACTGAGAACTATACCGCAATTAAAATGCAAATATGCCATATTGTATGAAGTATTAGATTTTGGTGCCCGACTGTCAGGCCCAAATAATGGTTTGGGACAGACATATGAGTGTCGGTTTGGACCTATTTGACTATTTGTCCACCTCTTAGCTGTATAATCCAGCTTAGGCTGAGGTGTGATCAGCCTCACTGCTTTAGGCTGGGTGCGAGTATAATATGTAAGTATTGAGGAAAACTCGCAAACCTTACTGCTTGATAATCATTTTGGGGTTAATTAGGCCCGATTTAACATTACTCTTTTTCATGGCAGAGATTCTTGACTAATTTAGCTGATGTATCTAAATTAGGCATATCAGCTCAAAGTAGGCATACTTAAATTTTCTGCTAAGCATCAACATTATAGCACATTTAAGGTTTAGCATCAACATTCTGCAAGTGGCAGTGGAGTTGCGGTCATGGAAGAGGCCGTCGTTCAATGAGGTAGGTCAAACGATTCATTTGAAGGAGGGTTAGGTTTATAAGAGGGTATTTAGGTACTTAATTTCACCCGCACGGGTAGCTCAGTTGGTCGAGCGGTGGGAAAAATTGGACGTAGACCAAGGTTCGAATCCCGCAGCAGCCAAAAGGGGGTTTTCAGAACCTGAAATAAGGCTGGCCCTCTGGGGCGCACGGGTAAAGGACTAAAGGCCTATTGACGACTGAGTCACCGTGATTTACTCCCCCACCATCCTGTCGGGTCGGGGTGGGGGGCCCTTGGGGTTGGGGATTCAACCTTTTGGACGTAGGTACTTGATTTCAGAAGTTTTTATGTCCATATTTAAAAGTTGTCTTATTTTTGTCTAATGAAAACTAAAAGTAACATTAGTGTCATTTTTTCGTGTTTTTATTATACGGGTTTAGGCGATAAATATGAAGTACAAAGTAATAATAGACTAGTCTATTTGACCCAACTCATTTCCCGTTAACACCCGTCTAAACATCTCAAAGAAGTCTTATATTTGTCCTATTTGGATCCTTGACATCTATAAAGGATCGGGAAGCATAAATATCCTTACATCGTCACAGCGAACAATACAAATCTTGCTAGTGACAAAATCCATTTAACGATAATCAGAACACGACTCAACACCCAGAAAAACACAATACTAGGAGTGATACTCTACGTCTTGTGAAGATTGTTTGCGGGTCTAAGGAAAACATTGACAATAAAACTCGAAGGACTGAAAAGGTGGGGATTTTGCCAAACAAGACAGTAGGTGGAGTTTTATGATGAAGATTAGCAGGCCATTAATTTGTAAACAAGCAATAAGTGGTTCATAAATAGCTAGGCTATCAAAAAAGAAACACCATTCCACACAGGCAGGTTATTAAGATTGTCATAAACATAAGTTGCACTCTTATCTATCAAATAGATTATAGATCCTCTGCCAAAAGACAGAGTAGACAAGAAGCAGCATAACGCCAATAGCAACATGATGTAATTAATGCATCTCCAGATCTACAGCTTGGGATTGGTTCATGCATTAACCTTTGGAGCCCACCCGGCAATAATATACTCATCTTTTGGGGGCTTGGTTTTCTGGAAAGAGTCCCTTGCAAAGACCAACTGCAAAAAAAAGAATGAAATCAAAGGCAAACTTCTGCTTTCTTGTAAACTATGGAGTATGAGTGTATACAACATCTTAGTTTTGACAAGAACCTTAGGTTTCTTCTCATCATATTTTTTTATTTCCCCTCTTTGTAGGTTGGGTTATTGTAGGGGACTGTGGTTTCTCTGTCCACCACTTCAGGCATGGGATCCACACACCAATGGTTTAGATGAGCTACACACTTGTTTAGTGTCTCAAATAGGTCATGTATTTAGTTTGAGAGTAGTAGCTTATAGTGTAAGGTGAACCTAACATCTAATGCACAATTAACTTCATCCTCTCATGTACTACGTATCATTTTACTGTGAGTTAGACCCAAATTAAAAAGCAAATATGCCATGTTGTATTAGAGTTTGTAGCTCGACTGCCAGGCCCAAATAATGGTTTGAGAGAGACATATGAGTGTCAGTTTGGACCTATCTTTCCACCTCCCACCTCTTCAACTGCATAATCCAGCTTATGCTGAGGTGTGCTCAGCCCTCGCTGCTTAGGCTGGGTTCGAGTATAATATACTATCGTATAAGTATTGAGAAAACCTGCAAACCTCACTGTTTGATGATCATTTTCGGGTTAATTAGGCCCAATTTAACATTTCTTTTTGTCATGGAAAAGATTATTGACTATGTTGGAGGATGTTTTGATGGGTACCCCTCTCACATTTATATTTTATTTCTTATCATTTAAGTTTCTTTTTCTTTAATAAGATTGTCTTCAGAGCACTTACTGTTAAAAATGGTAGCTTATAAACTCCATTAGAAGAACTATACACTTGCATCTAATATAGACCAGTTTCAATGAGAGGAATCTTCAACAGTATGAATTCGTGACTAACATGGGTTGGTTTTAATGACAGTCAAATACGGTCATACCTTCAAATAATTATGCACATGAACCAAGCCCGCTGGAACACTCCATTTCTTGAAATGGCCAAGAGCCACCTGAAGGTGGTATAGCTTTGGTGCCAAACTCAAATCAGCAGAGCTAATTTTCTCCCCATTGACAAATGGTCCCTAAACATGCAAGACATATTAACGCTGCAGTGCATATGAGTTTAATGTTGCCATGTTGTAACTTGTAAGCACTAAAAAACTGCAATTCTTGGCTGTTAAAATTGAAATATTCATACGTTTTTGTTAAGATGTTCATCAAATGCCTTCAGTTCTTCAACTAGAGACTGCTCTGTACCATCATTGAGATCCTTGCTTTTCAAAAAAGCAACAAAAGTAGGGAGTATCTTAGAACCACTGCAAGCCAAATAACCGCAAATTGTTAGTATCTATATATTGCAACCTCAAGTGCAACATAGAAACCAGAAATTGCTGTTAGCAACTGACTAATGAGTATAACAAATATATGATTACCTCCATCTGTCGGAAAAAAAGAGTCTTGTTTCAAACACTTATTTGTCCCAAAAGGAGTCCATGTTTTTGTCAAAGGAAGTTAACTTTTCATGTTATTTTCCCAACGTATAGTTAGACAATTCATACTACACATTTTCAATGTAATTAAACTATGGATATTTTTTTAAAACGTACAAGTAAGATTCATGATTTATAATTGTTGGACCTTACCAAAAAAATTGGGGTTCATCATAAAAATATTATTTTCTAAAGAAATAAGCCCAGCTTTTTTGGGGATTTAAAGCCAAATAAAAAATAAATACAGGATAAGCAAAATTTGCAGCAATTAGTTGGAATAACCAATTTCCATCAAGGGATTATTATTAGCAACCTAAAACAGATCTAGTAAAAATTTTATGCTCAGTCCATTAAACAGAAAAATAAAAGAACTTTTTAAAAATGAAGTCAAGCCTCTTCTACTCATTTACCTCCTCAATAATTAAATACAATAAGCATCAAATAAATGGAAGCAGCTTAGAACATTACACTGACGCAAATTCAGATGGAATTGCAAGTGGTGGTTCTGGGTATTTCTCTTCAATAATCCCAACAATTACATCAGAATCAGCAATCCATTTCCCATCAAATTTGATAAGTGGAACCTTCCCTTCCGGATTTACCTCCAGAAACCTAAGATTCAACCGCCCAATAACACAATTCAACTCGTACCAATAGAAAGATCACACGTTATTGAAACAAATAATCACACAAAAAAGAGAAAGCACAAAAAACATGGATTTGATGATAAACCTAACAAATAACTAGCAGTATGTCAAAGAAATTGAAAACTAATAGAAGTGTTACCATTGGGGCTTGTCGCTAAGGTTGATCAGAATATTCTGGTAAGGGATATTCTTTTCCTCGAGGGTAAGAGCTACTCGCTGACAAAATGGACCTAAAAGTAAGAAAAACTGTCGGAATTCTAGTGTAAAATTAGAAGACGAAAAATGGATTAAATCTCAGAGGGGGGAAGAGAGATTACAGTCTCCAAGATCATCCGGAGCGCCAATAGCAGCCTTGACACAAAGTTCCAAAGCCATGGTACACTAGAGAAAAAGCTCAGCAACTAGATTAAAGAAATCGATGGAGGAAGGAAGCTGATTGCCTGATTCTATGGCTGGGTATCTCTCTGGAACTCTCGGTGACCAAAGCTTAAAACAATGAAAGTTTGGTGGACTACATATTCATTAGTAGGAGTTTTAATATTTGTACGTAGTATGATTTTTTTCATATTTTGGTGGACTACATTGAACCTGGACTTGTTTGTAGGAAATTCTATTCGCAACCATTTATTTGCTAGGTGCAGCCATATATTTTTAAAAATCCCTCTTAAGTCCTCTTAAGTCCTTGGTACAATAATCCGCAACCCACAGCCTCCCCGGTAAATAGATCTTCTTCTTTGTAGCAAGGACTTCAAAGCACCTTCGCAAAAATCCCACAACCAGGAAACTTCCCCAGCTCGTATTTTCCAAAAAATCTGCAATTAGAATCCGCCGCCACGTTGTCGTTGGCCGCCACTAACGATGTCAACGAACTGCCCTCGTCATTCATTACGCTTCCTGCTGAATCAACCCGCAACCGCTAAAAAGCTCAGATTCGAGGAAGACTAAAAATAATTTCAATGATAAGTTAAGTTGACAGTGCAAATTCTCGAAATGATATGCAAAATGGTGTATGATAAGAGGAAGGTGGAGCAGAGCTGACAACAATTGCAATGGGCTTCTCCATCCTTTGATTTTGTCAACTACGTACATATCCATAAGCTTAGGAAATCTATTCAAGTTAAGAAAGGTATTGCAATTTGCAAGTAATTTCAGTTCTTCTTTCTATTTCTCAAGAGTTGGGCAGTTGACAGTCCAGATTTCGCTATACACCATGGTGAGAGAAGACCTTATTTTATGAGACTAGAATGCCGGGTAGGCTGTGTTCGACTGATGATTACTGCATTAAGGATATAATAGGAACTATTGAAAATATGTGGCTCTAATTAGCAAATAAGTGGCTGCCAATAGAATTACCCTTGTTTGTATAAGACATTTGCAGACTTCTTATGTTCTTATTTCATGTAACCTTTGGGCTTGAAGAACAATTCTAATTTTACAATTACATAAAAATGTAAAGTTACAATATTAATTTCAAGAATATTTTACAAATTTCATTACATAACATTTTACAGTTTCAAGAACTGATTGTTCAGACTAAAATTACAAGTACTAAATTTAACAATTAGGAAAAAAGATACTGCTATTTTTGGCATCATGGAATAAAGAAAATTAGTAAGAATGTCATGAATACAAACATCTACGTAAAAAAGGAATGAAGTAAAATCTACTCGAGAACTTTAACATACGAGTAAAATCTACATCGATCATATAACCTCTTATAGTATTTCTCACGAATTTTGTACTTATTTCAACTCATGTTGATTCCAAGATTTTCGTTAAGAGGTTGTAATATGTATCTCTCAATTGTTATTTAGTTTATTTTCCCTGAATGGTCACGCCATTGGTTGACAACATCAACCATCAACCTAAACAATTAAAACAAGGCCATTTAAATGATAAAAATATATAGGACCGTTTAATATAGGAAGAGAGCCCTATATGAATGTGATGAAACAACTCTTGGGGTGTGAGAGATAGCTATATGAGTTAGAGATGCTTCACAAAGGGAAAGATAATTGGGCAGGTAAGACAAATATAGTTGTAGTAAAAAGAAAAATGACATTCCAATAGAGATGTTGTCATATTTGACACAGAGTATTACGTATGAAGCAAAATAATTATGAAATAATTATTATTCTCCTAAAATAAACACATTTTACTTTCGATTACATAAAAATATTCAAATTTTTAGTCATCAAAAATAAATTGTCAAAGTGATTACCATTACGTTTGGAGATAATTACTTATATATATTGTTGACATAGATTATGCAGACTTAATTTATTAATACTTTTATGGCTAAAATTATTCGGTGAGTTGTACTTAATTAACCTTTTTAAATACATTTATTTTCATTTTAATTTAAGGAATCTACATGTATGAGTTTTTTATGAAGCTCGACTCAAGAGGATCGGCATTGCCCTTAATGTAAGACTCTATGGAGTCCATATACTCATATTTAATGTTTTGACTTCACTCATGTCTCCAAGTACAATTCAATGGCCTTAGCACCAAAACTTTTCATCATATGTTGATTTTTATTTTATTATATTATATTTTACATTTTTAAATTTATCATTTTTTCATTATATTGAAATTGTGCTAAGATATTTCATTAGCCTTACCATGTTCTTCATATATGGTATTTGATGAAATGTTTAGGTGATATGTCAGAAAAGAATTTTAATCGTAGGAAGTCTAATGTTTCTTCTTAAATTCTATGTTCATATACATGTTGCTTGATTAAACGTTTAGATGATCTTTCTAGGAAAGACGACAATATGAATTTATGATAGTTAGAAGCCTAATGTTTATCTTATGACATTGTATGCTCTTTTTAAGATATAAGTTATATATGACTTATATGTTGCATATATAATGTTTGATAAAATATTTAGACAATCTTTACACAAAAACACAAAATAATAATAGTAAGAAACATAACTTTTATCTTCTTAAATTATATATATGTTCATATATATGTTGTTTGATTAAATATTTGGATAATCTTTAAAAACAATTTTTATAATGTTGAGAAATTCAGTCCCAAATAAGAATCTAATCTCACTAAACATGATAACACTCATATAATTAAGCACATGTAAGAACACTAATAACCTGTTGGGGAGAATCCAAACTTTGATTGTGTTGTAGATGATGACGAAGACATTATTGATGTGTAGATTCTCTAAGCATACAAGCTTCAGATTTTCGATGGATTAAACAATCTCCCTTGGGTCTCTTAATATAGGTGTTCTTGAGACCTTTGGGAAGAAACATGTTTTTCCCTCTTAGTCGTAAGAATGCAATGAACATGTGTTTTATATTGTATCAAAGAGAAATCCATTTGATCCCTTATGTATAATTCTTTGTTAAAACATATTCATCATATATTAACTATACATAAATACATGGACCAGATCTGTTATATGAAAAACTTAATGGTAAGACATAATTAATGTCCCCAATATATATTAAATAATATAAATGGTCCAAGGACACTTAAATGGAATATATTCCAACATATAAAACATGATAAATCTATAGTAGTTAGAAGACTAAGGATCTGTTTACAACATATATATTTTTCAGTTTTCTTTCCCTTTTTCATTCTCCAAATTTTTGTTTTCATTTTCCAGTTTTTCTATCTCCAGTTTTCTGTTTTCATTTTTTAGTTCTTCATTTTCAAATATGAAAACATGTTCATCAAATTATTTCACCCGGTTCTGTGATCGACTGGAAGATCGAAACTACGGTCCCGGTCTGGAACCGAACCTCGTACAACCTAAGTAGGTACCTAGTCCCAGGCATAGGAAAGTCTAGACCAAAATCGGCCGGTTGGAGTCGATCTCAACGGTTAGTTTTGACTAAATCTTTTCTCTTTTCCCTATTGGTTGACCGGATCGGACAAGAATCGCAGAGTTGTTGATTGGACCGGGACTACCCGATCGTTGACTGGGCCTAACAAGTACCGCCGTGTCATTAACCGGATTGAACAAGGACCGCCGAGTCATCAACCGAACCGAACAGGGGTTGTCAGGTCATCGAACAGACTGAACCGAGACTGTCCGATCTTCAACCGGACTGGATAAGGGCCGCTGGGTCGTTGACCGAATCGGACCGCCGGGTCGTTGACCGTACTGGATAGGGACCATCGGGTCGTAGACTGGACTGAACTGGGCCGGAAATGACACTGGAGCGGAACCGGATCCATCACTAGACATAAGTATGTAAATTCATTGCAACGGCAATGTAGCATCCGCGTATTTCAAATTTGGAAAACTAGTAAAACTCACATCTACAATTCATTAAGGAAAACACAGACATATCTCATTTTTTGGTTTTAGGAAACGATTTGGTAAACGCATTTTCTGTTTTTTTTCAAGTTTTCCAGTTTTATGGAAAACTAAAAAATATCTCTGGTAGTAAACATGCCCTAATGTTCTTCTTTCTTAAATTATACTCCGTACAAAGTATGTTCTTTTGAAATGGTATGTTCCGAAGATATTTGTTACTAGTATAACTTTATAAATTTAGTTTGATATTTGTCCAACCTAATTTCATTTCTCTCGATCCAAAAGCACTAAATATGTCATTACAAAACAGGTTTCTTTGCTTAGAGCTATTCAAAGTTTATTTGTTTCAAGCTATTGAATAGCTTGCTATCTAAATATCGCTAATAAAATCTTAATGTAAGAACTATATTATTTATTTTATTCTGTTGGATTTTATATTTTATAAGTCATCAAGTTTAATGTCTATCGTTGAAATGGAATTTATAGGGAGTAGGTGTGGCAATAATCCAAGATCCATGTATAAAGCATGATGTCTTCTAGACTACTATCCAAGAATATATACTACAAAGATCAAAAGCAAACTTGAGCTGTAACAACATCATAATAGTCATTCAACATATCCAACATTTGTAAGAAAATAATTTCGTATTACTGAATGCTATCAGAGTATACAAATTACAGCACTGTTTTCAACCAAACAAAATGTATATACACACAATCACATATCTATTTTCTGCACAGACAACCTCAAAGTGTTCTTATATCTTGTCATTCAAGGGTTTTGTTTCAGCCTTTACCATCTGGGAGAAAACTCTACCCATAGAAACACCTTCAAGATCACCCATACTTCCAATGCTGAACTGAGTTGTAGAAGTGCTGATTTCTGGATCCGGGATGCCACCTTGAATTCTTCTATCTTCTTTTCCATTGAGCCGAAGGACACACTCCAAGTTCCAAAGGACCTCCCCCATTGTGGGCCGACGAATCCCACATTCCGCCAAGCATTTTTCAACTGTCTTCACAAACTTCTGTAAGGACTCCGGTTTTACTCCTTCCTTAAGGTGAGGATCAAGAACCATTTCCAACTCCCCTCTCTTTATCACACGCATAGCCCATTCAATCAAGTTTGCAGATTCTCTGGGGCGGGATGGGTCGATAACGGGCCTCCCTGAGAGGATCTCAAGCATTACGACCCCGAAAGAGTAAACATCTGACTTCTCGGTCAGTTGTTGTCTTGTCAAGTACTCCGGGTCGAGATAACCGAAACTTCCTTTGACTGCAGT